TTAACTTATTGTACTAAATAATTTATTTAACCTATTTTAATTTATTTAGCGATTTTTTTTGTGTTAAAACTTGTTTTCAAAAACAATTTTTCTGCTGTTATTAATATTACGAAATAAATATTTTTGAGTTAAATTATATAAATTTGAGTGTAAAAATTTCATTTTCTGCCAAATCTTAAATAGATTTCATTTAAAATTTAATAAAAAGAAAAATTACGTTTTGTAATGAAAAAAAAAAAAAATACAATCTTGAAACACAATTTATTTTACTTGATAAATATATTGATAATTGAAGGTTCAAAGAATTTTGCTGCAAATTTTTAAACTTTTATAGTAAATCGATAAATCTGTTAACACATTTTCTCTATAAGATTTGAATATTCTTTTTTTTTTTAAATAGTTCAATATTCTTATTAAGAATAAAGAGTTAATAAAATAAATTTTTTTTAAACTTTAAATCTAAAATAATCGAAAGTGATAGATTTGCTTTCTGCTGTCAAACTTTTTTTTGCTTCCTTTATTTTAGACTTTATAGAAAATTAAATATAAATTTTGATTTTAAATTAAGTAATCCCTTCAAAACAAAAAATATTGATTTTTCGAAAATTCTTTTCTAATTTTTCAAATAGATTTTAAATATTAATAGTTCTCTTAAATTTTATAATTTGATATTAACATTGATGAAACTTTTAATTTTGATATATTATTTAAAATTAAAGAAAGCCTTAGAAATCTCTCAAGAAGAAATAATAATCACGATTAATGCATTAAAAATCATGTAATTCCATTTAAAAAACTAAATTAATATATGACTTCTATATTTCTATTCTTCTTTATTTCAAAATTATTAATATTATATAATATATATCTTCAAAACTTTAAAAATTATCGATATTATAATAATATTATTACAGTATCGAAGAATCTCTCGAGAAAAATCTACATGATATCTATATTTCTTCACATAGACAATCAAGACATAGACAGTCAAAATCATCAGTTTGCATAGAATGATTTGAAAAACTTAATTTTTTTTTTTTTTTAATAAAGGCATTCAATTATTTAACAATGTTATTAAGTTATCCATGGAATAAATAAATTTTGGTTATTTAAAATTGCATTGATATATTGATGTCATAGAACAAGAAAAATTGATAAACTATTTTTAACAAATAATAATAAATTTTGACTTCATGAAAAAAATAATAATTTTTGTTTATAAATATTCTTTCTCAAGAATATTAAAAATCTTTTTCGAATAATTCGAAAATTAAAATCAATTGTCGATTATATATAGAAAAAAATAAATTTATTGAAAACGATGCTGTTTTCAAAATATTTTAAAATTCATTAAAATTGAGCGGTATGCATTTTTTAATCCAAACAAATTAAAATTTTAAGGAGAAAAAAGCTCTGAATATAAAAATCAAATTTTTATTAATTTTCGAAAAATTAATAAAAAAACTTTTGATACAAATATTGAATTCTTTCTATAATATGAATTCTATATATTCTTTCTTCATGACGCTTTTGATAATATGTATGTCATCATGTTTATTTATTGTTTTTATTGTGTTCTATATGCAGTGAATGATACTCAAAATATATAACAGATACACCAATTAAAAATTTTTTTTATGGATGATCATGAATTTAAAATTCAATGCCAACTTTTGGCATTCTATGGATTCTTCAAAATATAAAAATTTTAAGCAATTGAAATTATTAAGATCAAAGTTATTACAATATCATCTTAATATTTATTATTATATATAGAATTTGCCGACCACTGTAATATATATTAAAAATAAATAAGCAATCGTGCTGATGCATATATTATCAAGAAATTATTCATTACACCAAAAATTTTTTTATTAATATATCAAAAAATATAAATAAAAATTTTATATTTTATATTCAAATTTTATATTCAAAGCTTCTTTTTTTCCTATAAAAATTTAATTGATTTGATCAAAGCACATATACCGCACTACTGAAAATCGCTAAAGATAGAACACATATTCATCAGATATTTATGTTTTCAAGATATTTACAAGTTTTTAAATGAATGTGTATCTATAAATATTTGATTTACATGATTATTGTAATTTATATTATTTATATAATGACAATTTTTCTATATAATGAAATTTATTTACTTACAATTAAAATATCACAAATTATTCATTCGTGTTTCTTATAAGTATATAATTCAAATAGCAAATAAATTATTTGTTCACAAGAAGATAACAAATGAAAAAAATATGTATATGCTGGTAAGTTGACATCTGGTTTGGCAGAAAAATATAGGCGGTAAGCCATTTGTCTCACTAAATATAATACATATTGATTATTGATAGTAGTTGATAAATATGAATTCCACCAAAAATTTATAAAAATCGTGTGACTATTATATTTGTATTTGTATTTGATCATATGTTTATATATGTTAGGTTAGCTTGCTACATTCTATATTCTTTTTGGATACTAATTTATCAATGCACAACAACATATCCAAAAGTTATCGAAATTGATGAGGATCCCCATTCTAATATAATAATAATTATTATATTCTATTTTTATAAATTTCATTATTATTCAAGTCTTAATAATTTTAAAAATATATATTTACATACTCAGTAACTTTTCTTTTTTAAATTTCACTTGTTTAATTCACAGGCAATCTAGAATTATAATTAGAAACAGGAAATAAATTATTTCAAATTAATCATAATTGAAGTAAAATAGTTTTATGCAAATATTTTTATTTCTTATTTGGAATATTAGATATTATTTAAAATGCTACATATATCAATTTTCCAATTATATACAATATATATATTAAAGGGATAATATTTATTATATATTCAATAATATTTATTGAAGGAAATGTTTAATTTATAGGCCAAAATTTTAATAACAAATCTCATCTATATTTCTTTAAAAGTAAAATAAACATTATTTAAAAATTTTTTTTTCAAAATATGTTTATTATATCCTTTGTCAAATATTATATATTATATATATATTTCAAATAATAAAATATTATTAACTTTAATTATTTAAATATGTATTATTTTAAAACTACTATTTTGGAAATATATATTGGTAAAAAACATAATATATTCAAGTTTATGCATAAAGATTCAAATCTAAAACATAAAATTTTTGTTTTTATCATTCTTTTATTTTTAATTTTATTATTTATATTTTTTTATGATATATAAATATTAAAAAAATTATTTTGATTATATTTTGATTATTTCAATTACAAAAAATATTATAAATATAAGCATAAATTTATATCAATATAAATATTGTATTATATCAATATTAATTATTGTATTATTTGTATAATATATATTTGTATTATTAAAAAATTAAATCTAAGTATGAAATATCTACTCTAGATTGAATTATATATAAATTATATTAAATGTAAAAATTGCTACATGTATTATATATTTTAATATAATTGTAACTAAATAAAATATATATGAAAAACTTTTTTAATGAAGATTGCATATCCACTCAAAGATTTAAATACTTTCATTGCAATCAAGAATATTTAATAAAAAATGTATATTCCTCAAATACAATAAAGAAATCTAAATATAGATGACAAATAATTATATTAATATTTACCAAGCAAAAAGAACAGTGTTACAATAAAGATAACAAAAAACAATCCAAATCATAATGAAAATAATTATTTCCATTAATTAAAAAAACATTAAAAAACATCTTAAGTTAAAAAAATAAAAGCCAATTCAAGATATATCTAACAACAATAGCATTTCAACAGGAAACTATTAAATTATATTATCATATTAAATTAAATAACAAAATTTGATAAAATATTTTATTTTATCAATTGTTACATAAAAATTTAGTAAACCAAAATAACAATATATTATTTCAAATAATGTAT